TGGCGCGGGGGCAAATACCCAGGACCCTGACCACATTGATGTGGTCCAAGCTTCCCATTGCTGTCATGTGCTGCACGGAACATTAAAGTTAAAATCTCTGTCAAATGATTCACTGTGAGAGCAGTGAATCACTGCACGGAACATTAAAGTTAAAATCTCAGTCAAATTATTCACTGTGAGAGCAGTTACAGAGTTTTTCTATTAAATATAATGTTATTAGTATAACTGTAACATCAGTAGGAATCATTATTGGTTTTTCCTCCGATAATGAAAACCTGATAACACAATGCCTGGGTTTGGCCAAATTTAGCCAAGTGTCCTAAAAATAGTTTTGAGGGAAAATGGCTGTATATGAAAGTGAAAGTCACTAGATGGCAGCATTGCAGCTCATTTACTAATCAAGAGATTATAGGCAGAATTATCATCATATCTGATATGAGGAAAAAGTTAATCCCAGACATGTGAGAGTAAACCACGTAAAGGAAATAAATACTTAAAGAAATATTTTTTCATTTACTGTAACATAACAACTATAGGCCAGACTCTTTTAGCCTGGGGTATTTTTTGTGTGTTTTTCTTACATCTGTGACATCATAGAATGTCTGCCGCCCAGTGCGATCGTTAACCGTCTTAATGGCCACAGGAAGCTTCACTGTATCACCCTCAGGAATCCAAATACCCTACAAAGTAGAGGAAGGAGTCGTGAATGACCTGCCAGGGACACATCAACCTTGTATGGCCAACTGCAGTAAAATGAAGTACCTTATGTACTGTCCCAAATACTCCGTTACCCAGCAGTTTCAGCTTACGCAGCTCGGTGGGTTTCAGGATCCGAACGAAGACTTTGGCTCCCTTCTCTCCGGGCTCCAAAGGCTCGAAACTCTGTGGTCCAATAGAGGTTTCATTAACAAACGACACATGGCAGAATAACGACGCCTTAGTTTGAGACTCACACCGACCTCGCCACTCTCCATGTATCTCCTCATAGCACGCTTGCGGCGAATGGCGATTCCTCTGCGGTACAGGACGGTCAACACAAAGACGGAGAAGGAGGCAAAGATGAGGGCGATGACTCCCAGAGTGATAAACGTGGTCTGTTGTCTAGGTGGGAAGAAACAGACGTTAAAATCTGCAGCTTTTTTTTTTTCACTCCAATGTGAATGTGTCAGGATATGAGGAGACGTACCCAGAAATAAACCGCGAAGGATCCACGCAGTCTTTTACTCTTGGGCCGTAGCACCTGAATAGTGAACACAGGAAATGTCAGCTGTAAGTAGAAGAAATGAGCAAGAATACAAGGACTTCTGTGATTCTTATTCTTTGTCAGTTCATTTTAAATGTTTATAAATTGGACATAATGTGTTTTGCGTGAATTCAGCGACTGGTATTTTTTTTTTTTTTTACCATCTGCCATCGCCCTCTTTGTTCTTACCCCTGGGTACAGTTGATGTGGCACGGTTCACAGTGGCCTTGTTTATTGTGGAATTTAAAGATGACGCCCTCTCCTCCCATCACACCCTCAGGACACGAGGAGACACAGTGTGGACCGTCCTGTAAGTTGGCACACGCTACACACTCATCTGCTCCCTGAAAAACAAGGCGGCAGATGTTGGTTCACACAGATGCCCCTAAACAAGCCACCACTGGGTGGCAGTAGTATCAGCCCTACAGGTATCACAGCAGATTCTCAAACTTGAAGAACTCGCTCGGTTCGTGCAGTTCAAATATGAACGTGTAGCAGCAGTCATTATGGGAGAACGTACCGGGCCGGTGCAGGTCTCCTTCCCCTTCTGGACCTTACACTCTGGGTGACAGGGCAAACACTCTCCTGATTGTGAAGCAAACTCACGCCTCTCCCTGTAATCAGGACAGAAAGTCTTGTCACCTCTGACCGCATTATCTGAAAACAGGGCTTAGCGACAGCAAAAACACAATTCAATAGGAACAAAGGAGGTGTCAATCATTCCCAACCGCATTTTCACTCAGTTATACTTCCTAAAAAATGAAACAGATATTCAACAAAAATAACTGCAGTTGAGTTTAGGCTAACAAAATTAACGGCCCACAGACCCGCTACATCTAGCCTGTGTTGATGTTGATAATAATACAATTTTGCGCTCAAGGAAATTTAATTTAATTTAAATTCATTTTCTATTTTTTGTTTAACCAATAAAATCCTTAGTCATTTAAAAATGAGAAAATAAAAAAACTACTTTTTTTGGAAGCTTTGTTAAACTGACTGAACCAAAGCTAATGCTAACCAAAGCTAACATGTTTTCATAAACATATGAGCTCACGAGCTCATATTTCCAATAGTTAAATCAGAAGATGTGAACATAAAAATGTATGTAACAAAAATATTTTTTATTATACTTAATATTTTGTGTCTGTGTATTTACATCATTTAATGTTGAATATGTTGAATGAACAAGGTCTGTCAGTATGTGTAGAAAGTCTAGAAAGTTTCCCAAACCTCTTTTTTCTATTATTAATGTTAACATCTAGCCTGTGTTGATGTTGATAATTATATAGTTTTGCGCTCAAGGAAATTTAGTAAAATTCATTTTCTATTTTTTTTAAATTTTAACCAATAAAATCCTTAGTCATTTAAAAATGAGAAAATAAAAAAACTACTTTTTTTGGAAGCTTTGTTAAACTGACTGAACCAAAGCTAACGCTAACCAAAGCTGTTGTTCCAATGTTCACAAGTTCATATTTCCGATCGTTAAATCAAAAGTTAAATAATTTTGATGACCAAAAAAATGATGGTCCACAAACATGTTTGGATATATTTAGATATAAGTACTTTTCTGTAAATATAGTTTCTATTTCTATTAGTATGAATTCTATGGTTTGTATTTATAGAAAACTACCTGTAAAGATATTCAAACATGTATCTAGAATACTTTTACTGTATCTGTATTCCTCTGTAAACTCTAATATGAAGACAGTGTTTGAACATGAAAAAAAATGTATGTAACAAAAATATTTTTATTATACTTAATATTTTGTGTTTGTGTATTTACAACCTTTAATGTTGAATATGTTGAATGAGCAAGGTCTGCCAGTATGTGTACTGTTCTCGGTTGTTTTGTGAAAACTGACCCAGTCAGGAACATGCAGTCTGAAACACATGTTCCTCCTCTGTCGTATTTCTGGCAGGACAGGCACTGGTCCGGCCCAGGACCCCAGCAGCCTTCAGAGGAGCAGAGGGGGTCACACACGTGGCCCTCGCTCACTGTAGAAACAAACGTGCTGTTTCATCATCAGTTCAACACAGACATGACGGTGTGATCACGGCAGCAGACCCCACTCACCACACTCTTCTTTTTGTTGGTTCTCTTTAATTTCAATTAGCTTCTGACGTCGTTGTTGCCGCGAGCTACCGCTAACGATGCGCGTCCAGTTGATGGTGTCGGAATAACACAGGTTTTTGTTTTCTGTGATGTAGATTCCACCATCATTTATTCTTTTCAGAGAGCGTAACCCCAGAGAGGTCACGGAGGGGAGCTTCATCACCAGGAGAGAGTAAGTCCTGCAGAAACAAATACATTTTGTTGGAGAAGAACTTACCAGCTACATTGAAGCTACATGCTACATGCTACGTCCACGTGAGCAGGAAGTGAGTGATTGCTGTGAACCACCTAAGGTTTCCAGTTTCCATTTACCAACAAATTAAATGGAGAAACAACACCATGAACACATGGCCCGTGAATAACCCTCAATGAAATTTGGTTAAAAAAGTGATTGAATGTAATGAAAACATTTTTTCATAAAGTTCATGCACTTGAATTTTATGTTTTTTAACTTAATCATTGTACAAAACTAAATAAAAAGTTGGAAGAAGAGTCAAGAAAACCCTGATGCAGAAACCCATCATAGAATCTTATTAAAATCCTCCACCAAATCAAAGACAGGTAAGAGATTTTCTTTTTTTCTTTTTTCTTTTTTTAACTGTACCTTCGGTGTCTTCCTCTAAATGATGCAAAAAGGCAAATAAAAAATACACAAATAAATGATGCAAAAAGGCAAATAAAAAAATACAAGACACAAAAACACAATGAGATTCACGCCGGTCACAGTGCAGTCTGCTTAGTACAAAATAAACCAACAACTTGATTTAAAAAAAAAAAATTCTAATTCAACAACACATTGTTAGGACAAAGGAAAACAAACACCTGAAAAGGTTTCTGCCTTGTATTGTTTTGAGGTTTGAGAAGACGGACAGGTCTGTCATGTTCTCAGGCCACGACTGGATACACAGGAAGTCTGACAATAAAAAAACAAACTGTGTTTACCAGCTCTGACCCAGACAACACACACACACACACACACACACACACACACAACAGTGTTAAATGACATATTTTACTGGTACTACACACACCTGTAATCTCCTGCACCGTGTTGAATATTTTCAGTTTTTCCGGATCAAGTGCTGGGACACCATTGTACTGATCACTTTGAACAAGGAAAAAACAAAAAGTAAATTACATCCATTACACACAGCCGGGTGCCTGAAGTGCTGCTGTGGGAGTCGGAGCGTGGTTTACCCAGTGATCCCAGTCACCAGGAAGTGCAGGCTGCCCTGGATCTTTGTGCAGTTTATGAAACTGTCGATATTAGAAGCATCAACGGTTTCTCTGGTTGGACTTCCTGTACCTTCGCAAACTGGAGAAAAAAAAACATCGTGGAAATGAGCAGTGCCTTATTTTAGCTTTAAAATATCCTCTGATTTCTTCCTACATTGAAACGACGTCTACCTTTTGGACACAGGCCTCCACACGGCTCACAACTTTTCACTCCATTCTTCTCCACTTCGAGTTTATCCGACGGGCAGTTGCTGACACACGAGCTGTCGTCCACCACGAAATTTGCTGAAGGGATGAAAAATGGCGTCAACTAAGTCATTACAACAAATGAGCCGACGCATGATTTTTGGATCGTTTTTGTGTGTTTTTGAGATTGTGGGTCACGGACGTATTTGTGGCCCCCGTTATTTCCAGATTGGAAGATAACACTTAGCCCGGTATCACATTGAGTTGCATTAATTTCTCTGCGTACTGCAGCTTAAAAAAACAAACAAAAAACAAAAAAAATACAACTGTAAATTGCTTTAACTGAACAGTTTCAGTCGACCAGGTCATTGTTGTTACATTCAAATCACCGTGTCTTGTATTACTGTATGTCAATGGGATTTTTTGTCAAGTGAAAAGGCATCATGGACCATTGAGTTCTAACTGTAAAACTCGGTGGTGGTGATAGTGCATCCTAGAGGCCACTCACTGAAAAACCATAAAAACTCAATGGTATGGTAAAGTAATTCTAGTAGAGTATTGCTGTGGTTCATAAACTGTGACTCACTGGGGCACTGATGCACACAGATGGACCCATATTGGTACTTGGCATTAGGGTTGGGCTCCAGTCTAAACGTCTGCTTGTTGTAGATGAGTGTCTGAGGACACTGTGGAACACAAGAGCCTGAGTTGTTGAAGTTCCTGCAGGCCTGCAAAAAAAAAACAACAAAAAAAACAACAGAATATTTAAAATAATAATTCAGTGATTTTCTCTCAATTGTCCTATACAGTAGTCCTCAAACTATGGTGCGTGCGTCACTGGTGGTACAAGGGCCCCCTCTATGGGTACATTAGGGAATCTGATGTTTTGTTTTGTAGTTTAAAAAACAAATTAATGCCAGTTTTATGTGTGGATACGAACAAACACATTTTGCAGTACACTGCGTTGTACCCGTGGTACTCTTGAGAACCACTAGGGTGAGTGAAGCAGCAGACTCACAAAGCAGTCCGTGTCCAGGGGTCCAGTGCAGCCTCCGGCACACTCGATGTGACAACACTCACTGGGGTTCCTACCAAAACATCTGCCGTTGCACTGGGGGGCGCACACAGACTTTGTCACTGAAAGAAAACAGACGAGAAACAGACTTTGTCACAGCATCCAATCAGCTGAGCCGTAGCTTCATTATCAGGAGTCGTCTTCTAAAACTCACAGATCTGACAGCTGTCCTTTCCTGGACCCCAACATGGCACATCTCCACACTCCTCGTCACACAGCCCTGGAACAGTTATTCACAATATGTGTCAATAAAGATGAATAGACTTTGAAGCAAACAAGTGACTTCTTCTTTGATACCTATGGATTTTTTCTTAAAAAATATTCCCATGATGGATGATGTTACGTTCACATATGCACTTCTGCTCTCTGTGTTTGTTGACATTTTTCCTCTAAATTGGATCCTATTTTTAAATAAATGTGTTTAATGTATCTTTTTAAAAACACCTGATAAACAGGAGAATGAGACAAACTACCAACATGGACTATAAACCGGGTCAAGTAATTAATAACAATAATTTGAACTTCGTTGATCCCACACTTGGGAAATTCTTGTTATTAAAGTGTTATCAGCAGATCAGCTGCAACAGGCTGACCTCTAGGAGGCGCCAAGTCGTGGATCCTCTAGAAACGGGAATGCTCACTGTTCTGAGGCAGGGAAGCTAACGGCGACTAAAGGAACCACGTGTCCATTCACTCAGGCTTTAGTGAAGTAATATTCAGATACTTTTTCAATGGAAAATGACAATTTTCAAACGGTTCAAAGACGGCCCAGTGTGACCCACTGATAAAGCTGTTCCTGCACTGACTCTTTAGGAGTGGGTTCAATGGGATCAGTTTGGAAACATTAGGTTAAATTATCTGTCCTTATAATTGATGAACTGAAACTTTCTGAAGAATGACTTTTTTTGAATGTGTCCCTCTTCTTTGGGACTGTCCACAGTCCACTGAACTCACTCGTGGGCCCGTTGTCCTCGATCTCAATAGGAGCCGTTTCCTCCCTGACAATGTCCCGCCAGTTCACCTGTGGAGCGTAGCTCAGGTTCCTGTTCCGCATGAGCTTCACTCCTCCCTTCACGATCTCTGTGGGAGGGACGCACATATGCAGATGGAGAAAAGGACAATTAACGAGGCATGTCCACACAGGCCCACCGTGACTCACTGTTTACTACAGCTCCCACAAACGACTGTCACAGTGGCAGTTAGGAGCTGAGCTTATCAGACATTCCTGGGGCTTCACATCACGGTGACTACACACATCCTGTCACTCATGACTGCTACGTTGGAAGTGTCGTGGGTGGACGCCAGATCCAGGAATTGCGTCTAACATGAGACCTTATCTGGCCTCCCACGTGTTAAACACACACACACAGTGGTCTGATGTTCAGTGTGTACCTGTGAGGTGTGTCAGGCCCAGTTCTTGGAGGCCGTACTGGCCCTCCTTCTGGTAGTTGATCATCACAGCCAAAGCGTATTGGCCCTGGTACAGTGTGGAGCCTCTGATGATGCGTAGCTGGTCCAAAGGAAGACGGCTGAACTCATTGATGGCACACAAGACGTAGCCCGTCACCTCCCTGATAGACTGTGGAGTTCAAAAGAAGAGATAAATGTTCACCACGTAGATACAGAGCAACAAAAACAAAAAAACTAAAAATGCACCACGTAGATACAGAGCAACAAAAACGAAAAAACTAAAAAATAATGTTTTTTTTTACTATTATGGACTCAGTTCTCATGAATAAATAAAAGACTAGTTGCTTCGGGGTTTTTTTTCTTCTTTTTACTTTTATAACATTTTACTTCTGGCAAAATAATTAACAATATATATCTTTAGAAAATTAAGTAATTGTTTAGACCTGGGGTCACCAGGTAGCCCCCCCCCCAACTCACCCGAACTATCTAAGGTGCCTACAACAGTATGTTCTAGAAATAAAACTAGTCAACAAGAGGGTCCAAAACTGTACTGTTACTGTGTGTTGTTTGGGAATATATTATATTTCTAAACTTTTTAAAACACTTTTCAGATTTAGATTATTTAAAAATACAGGTTAAAAAACAGCAGTAGGCATGTGTTTTTCATAAAGATGTTAGTCATCACGACTGCGGTGGTGATGATTAATAAAGACGAGGACATGGAGGACATTTGTCTGTCAGACAGTTACATGATCTGCAGTAAACAGTGACAACAGCTTTGTCTTGGATTTCTTTTTTTCTTTCCTGTCTGGACTGGTTACCAGTTCTCACAGACACACATGCTGTTGTTCTCTGACACCCATGTTGTTGTTCTCCATCTGTGACGCCACAGTGTGGCCAAAGCTTCACCTGCAGGAAGGAGAAGTCTCTGGTGTGCTCCATCATGGAGATCTCCAGGTTTCCCATCACGATCTCACAGCCCGTGTACCTGTCCTTCATCAGGTTGAACTGGTTCTCCGCCGACCCTGTCGTACTCAGGCTGTTTTGGGTGCCGTCGCAAAAGGTCACTGTAGGAATTAAACAAAAAATATATAAATATATAGACATTACAGACACACGATAAAACATTTCTAAAAACGTTTCTGAGCCCAACATCAAAACTGAGCCACGTTGACTGTGCTGCTGCTGTGACTCCTTCTCTTTGTCTACTTAAAAAAAAAAAGTATTTGTTTATTTATTTAGTTCATCATTTTTAGCTTAAATTGTTATATTTTGGCTAACAGTAAGATTTTTATCTTATATTTATTTATCTGCTTTCTTTTGTACGGCTATCAGGCTAAGCGCTAACCTCTTTAGCTAACTTGTCAAACTGAAATGTTTTGCTAGCCATGCTAAATTTGAGTAAAATTTAAGGCTACTTCAGCTTCTTTACTGCAATTATACAACACTACTTCCTGTAATATATATCAAAAAGTGAAACTATGGAAAAAGGTAAGCACAAAATGGAGAGAAACACAACAGCTAGCTCCACTACGGAAGCCCCGAAGGACATTTTTAACCCAGGCTGTGTTCAGGCAACTATAGAACCCAAAACCACTGTGTAAAGATGTTTTTGATAGATTTTCCAATCTTGTACTTTAGATGTTCGCAGTAATTTGAAATTGTTTTTTTATTTTCCAATCTTGTACTTTAGATGTTCACAGTAATTTGAACTTTTCACATTTATTTACCGTGAAAAGAAATTGTAGAAATATCGGCTTGAACTTTTAAATATAAAATGAGATGTGAAAGATGGATGAGCAGAGGAGACTCTCATCCATGTAACGCAAACATTTTGAAAATAAACACAGATGCCGTGTTTGTTTTTCAGGCTGCCCGTGGCTGTAGGTAACAATTGTGGAGTAAATCTGTGAAAATGATTAATGACAAACACTGTATGTTTTCACAAAGAGCGTTTTGTGCCTCACTCCACTCCGTGCTTCTGTTCTGCTCATGCAACGTCAATGAGTGCAGTGTAACAGACAGAAACAAGCCGAGGATTGTGTCCAGGGCTCATCCGTCTCTCAGACAAACATAAAAATCCTTGTTGATGATGTGTGGGAGTTCAGGCCTTCAGCGTCACTGCACAACTACTTTGTTATTCAAATGTGAGACAGACGAGCAGCAGCAGAGATTTGAACACCAGTGTTGATGTCACAAACACGTACGCACACAGAGAAAGAAAAACACATTCGGTCGATTTTTGTCCTTAACTGGTCAGTGTAAGAATCAGTCCACGCATTCATTTGTGCATCTTTTAAATCTTAAGATGATGACTGTGTTTTCACACACATCAAATGTGATGATACGGTATAATCCCTAGAGGTTTAGCCTTTACTTAAGACATAATAAATCACATTTCTACTAAATATGATTAGGTGATATTAAATATAATGCAGTTATATCATATAATAATAAGTACATGTTTGAGGCCAGTGTGACGATGAAGTTCTGCAGTAAAGCAGTAAAAGAAATCTAATAACAGACTTGCTACAGCCATGTTAGATGCTAATTAAAAAATAATAATAGTCAAGTCTAAAGTACATTTTCTATCATCCTTTTTATGGACTTGAAAGAAGATTAGATATTAATTAATATTAATATTTTATCTTTTTTGACCCTTGTGAGTAGAGGCTGAAGGACTTGGACTAAAAACCTACAAATGCTGCTCTCTCAGAGAACACAGAGTCAGATGCACCAGTGCCCAAGAGCACATGGGCATGAAAACCAGAGACAAAGTGTTTTACTGCTGAGAAACCAGAACAGGACAGTAGTTCCCCAGACTAATTTTTTTAGATCAGATAAGTAAGCCACGTGTTTTGTTTTGTGTTTGTTTTGGTCTTGTGTTCTGTTTGGGTGTGTTTTTTTATTTGTGTGAAGTTTACATACTTGTGTGTTTCTTGTTTTTCTTTTCATTCTCTGTTCACATCATTAGCACGTGTTGTTGTATACTGTTCAAATAAAGTAGTTAAACCACAGAGTAAAAACAAAAAGAAACATTGTTTGTTCCACAGAGGCACATCTGGGGATTGAACGCACGACCTTCTGTGTGTAAGGCAGATGTAGACTGCTACACTACTGAACCACCAAGAATATGGAGATGCCGGGGATTGAACCCAGGACCTCATACATGCGAAGCATGCGCTCTACCACTGAGCTACATCCCCATGCTGTCAGTAGTATCAGGTAAAAATTAAATATACGCAAATATAAAATTTGCATATAAATATACTAATTACGTCCTTAATAAGTCAGTCATCATTATCCTGTAAAGTTATTGGTTTTCTGGGTCATTTTAAATCGACCATGACGTTGTCAAGGATCATCCAGTTCGGTGGAAAATAGACAGTAAAGAATGACAGCAGATGGAGCCTAGGAGTGGACCACATGTCTTTCACTGTGCTTTACTGCTATCGTGTAACATGTTAAAATGTCAGAATTAATAATACCCAGGTGTCTGGTACTCCGGCAATAACAAATCTGTCCAGTCTTTCTAGATATTTCTGACTGTGGTGGTTTGAAAAAAACAAAAAAAAAAGTCTTGTCAGACTGTTTCACATTCTAGATCTTTCTGTTTACATTTCAAAACTGCGACACTCGGTCGGCAGCAGCTAGAAACCACGGATTTCTATTGACTTTCTGTATAAGTTGGCACTTTTCAAACTGTGACAAAATCAATAATCAATAACGTCTTTCCTTTAGTGTCAAGTCACTGGCTTTAATCCGCAGTGATTGGCTGATGAACGTGTACTTTGACTCAACTTTATCTCTCCATCCATTAGGGCACCACATACAGGACGGCTGCACGTCTTCACAGAAAGACACACATCTGCACTGGGGTTTTTTTTTTAAATAAAAACACATGAAATCAGGAAATGTGATCATGAAAAATAATTTCTAAATTTAAATGGAAAAAAAGCTTTTATCTGATTATTGACAAATCTGTCACTAAGGAATGTGTTGAACCACATTCACACGCAAGTCATTCAGTGTTTTATAATTATTAACCTCACAGGTAAGTATGTGTGCTGAGAGAGAGAGAGAGAGAGAGAGTACCCTCAGTTTGTCCTTCAGCTATAAAATCCTGATAAGAGTTCTTTTAATAGTGTTTTTCAGAACACTGGGTCTGTTCTCAACTTAGACTCTGAACTGAAACCATTAAAACACAGCTGAACGTGCACGCAGTGAATTTTTAAAAAAATATTTCATTAGAAAAGTTAGAGCTATGAAAAGAATGTGATTTCGTCAGCGGACAAAAGAACAAAACGACGTTTTTAATTGATTGATTGATTGAACTCAAACTGTGTTGTCAATAATGTTACGTCTTGGGGTAAAGTCTTTCTTTCCTTCCCTCTCATCAGTCTTACAACCTAATGTAGAAAAGTACTTAAATATAGATTTAGTTATCATTTAGACAGATATTTTTCTCATCTATTTTTTTTTTAAATCACTATCAAATGTTTTGATCCTGTCCTTCGTCCGATCAGGAGAAATAACATTTTTGACACATTTCTGTACAACACTGACGGCTGCTAATAAGAATAGAAACTTTTCATTAATTTTTTCTTGTTATTTTGTATGAGAGCTGCTCCCTGTGGTGTTAAAAGGCGACGATACCACCTTAAATCAGAAACGTACTAAATGGCGCCTCCTGTGGCAGCAAAGAATCACCATGTAAATTTCCCCATTGCAAGAAGACTAAGGAACTGAAATATTATTATTGTAATTATATTTAGAGACAAGGATCAGCTGCCCATGCTGTCTCTGTAGGTTCTATGTTGGTTCTCAGTCATCCAGGTCACTGAATCCAAAGCGGTTGGGGTCGAGGGCAACAGGAAGTTGCCTTATAGAACTGTACTGTCCACATTACACTCCCTTTCTTTGTTTTCTACAGTTCTCTTATCTCAGGGCCGTGGAGTCGACACTCACCAATGACTTGGTCTTCAATTGACTTTGACTCATTCAAATCAAACTTCTCTCTGATGTGATTTTATGAGCTGCTCGAGCGTCACGTTTGTTTGGTTTGTTTTTTTTTTAATCTGAACTCCACCTTGGTTAAAGCTGATTATCAGTGAGTGATTTGAGCTCTTGACTCTTCATACAGTTTGAAGAAACGGGAAACGGTCATAAACACCGAGCTCTTGACTCTTCATACAGTTTGAAAACGGTCATAAACACTGCTGCGATCTTTCAGCAAGCAATGGCAGTATGTATGGTATGTACTGTAGAAGGAAGACAAACCGGTACGAACACATAGTGTGTGAGAACGACAGGCGTCGTCTTCGCCGACACACAAACACAATGAACCTTCTACAACAGTGGACGCGGGAGAAGTCGACGGCCCGAGAGGCAGAGGAAAACACATAGACGATGGGCTGGGATGAAATGGGGTGGAAGGTTAGTGTGTGTGTGCGCACACACACACACTGTCGTACACACAATGGCCGTCTTTTAAAGCAGTGGAAAACAAGTGTGGAGTTGTGTTTAGAGGACTGGCAGTTTATTCTGTCTTTCTTCTCCCTTTTTATGACGTTGACCCTCATATCATATTGTTATTTAAGGAGCATCGTAAATTGAAAAATATAAAAATAAAAATGAAAACAAATAAATCAGGATCAGGTCAAAAATAGTTGAGACACAAAACGAAGCAAATAAATAAATAAATAACAAATTGTACTGTAACTTTTTGAATCGGTTCCACTTGCAATGATATTCAAATTGGTCCCAGAACTAATTATTATGACATTGTTCATAAAGTCTGTATCAAACCAGTAGCTCTTGGTATTACTAGGTGGCCTTGAAGTAGCTCTCAGTTTCAAAAAGGTCGGTGACCCCTGACCTACGGTATAGTCCATCAGGCAACATAAACACAGTTATATTGTTAAACTGTTTGTTTTTGATGGTGGGATGAAACCATCAGAGAACTTGGAGAAGACCCGTGAACTCACAGGAAGAACATGTCAAGTCCACACAGAAAGACCTGGGATGGAACCAGCGATCTGCCGGCTGTGAGGCTGGACCACTGAAGCCATTTGCTTCACTGTGTAGATTTTTCTTTTTGAATATATATTGATGAAATGATCCAACCCAACTCTTCAAGAACGACTGACACAAAGTCCAAGGGCTCTCCGCTAAAGTGATGCCTTTGTCCCAGGCACTAAAAAAAGTGTAACCTATCACATGACACAAACAAACACGACGCGGATCAAGTTCATCTGTGATTTCCTCTGGTCTGTTACCAGGGCTGCTGCACAGAAGAAGAAGAGAGAGACGCAGAAGGACAACAATGGAGGGAGGAGGAGATAAACAAGCGGCATAAAGCAGCTGAGGCGATGAGTGAAGTAAACAGAAACTTGGCACAGGGCGGACAGAGATTACTGCATACCTCACAGGTGAACACGTACACACACACTCACACACACTCACAGAAGCGACTACACATAAACCTTTTTTTTTTTTTACCTTTCTTGTAAAAAGCACAACTTCCTCCTCTTTATTAGATTCTTTAGATTCAGTTTTTGAAGAGCTAATGTTTAGCTTAGCACCATGTTGTGGCAGTGATGGAAATACATCAGTTATTAGTCACACCTGTGGTGACGAATTATCCACTCAAGCAGAACACTCTCACAATAAGAGAAATCTCACTTTTAAATACTAACACCAAAGGCTTACCACAGGAACATGAGGTTCTGTTTTTCCAAACTTGAGAGGAAAATGTCTGTTCAGGCTTCCATAGTATAGGACGATTATTGATAAACTGAAATATTGCGATATTTCCTTTCACGATACAGCAGTGTATCAATTATTTTATTATTGTAGAATCCTCTGTTTCAATTTTAACCTGTAACATCATTGTGTGTTTACTCTGATGACAGTTTTCCTACATTTAAATTGTTAAAAAAAATATATATATATTATCCTGCCTATAGCATCGCAATATATAGCAGAAAGTCATATCTCTGCACATCTATCGAGATACATATCGTATATCGTATCGCCAGATTCTTGCCAACACACACCCTGATAATGCAGGGAGTGTTGACACATCAGCAGGGATCTAAAAATGAGGAATAAAAAGTTGGAACGACTTCTTCTTCCATGAATTTTGTCGACGTGTTTATATTTTGTGTCACTCTGGAAACGTCTGCGCTGGTCAGAACATGACGCCATGTTTAAATAACAGCACAGTCACAAACAGGTCATCAGGTCACTTGAGTTGTGAACTTTTTTACAGCACAGTCAACAACACATCATGTTACATATATATTATATATATGTTACCTTTTTTAATTTTACTGTGAGGATGGTGTTCTATGTGTTATATGCCTCTCCATTCCTTCAACATAGTTTACTACAACGTAGTTTTCAATTAGTATGTTCTTATTATAATGTTTTGTGTTTTTAATTAGGTCAAGAGCAATTAAGTATTGTTTCCTCTGTGTTATTAAAGGGAAATTACAATTATTAAAATTACACAAAAATACTTCCTAATAAGGTTACTCCCCTTTTAATTAAAAAAAAACACATGTTCCATAGCAGTAATAGGTATAATATATATATATATCTGAATGAGATACAATATCAGTAATCACAAAAGGTACACGTGATTGAAAAGATTGAAAAAGATATTTACATTAGACTAAACTAAAATGACAAAAGAAATAACTTCAATAACTGGTCAGAGAGACAAACACTGCTACACTTTTATATGATGTCGAACCTGAGCAAGAAAATGAGGAAAACAAAACAAACTAAATATCACCTGTTTCTCTGTAGGTACAACCTTCACCTGATGTTGATGAGCAAACACAATTATACCTGTGATGAAATGGTTTGTGTTGATTAATGTGTGAGTGTTGGTGTCCGTATGTTTACGTGTTTCTGTCATCTGAGAATCATCTGAGAATCACAGTTTGAAATTCAATTTGTTTGTCTCAGAGTCAGGTGTGACTTTCGGGCAGGTGGGGGTCAAAGATCAGCTCTGTGTCACAAACACGTCATCATGACTATTACTCTGGACAGAGATATCAATAAAGTTGGTTCACTTCTTGACAATGCAATAAAAATATATGGTCTTCAACCTGTTGCCTGTTAAATAACAGTTTGTATTAAATGCTAAACCTTCTGTAAATAGTAATATTTTTTAAATTACTAAAATCATGGTTTATTCTGTGGCTAGGTTTTTATTTTACTTGATTTACTTAATTTAACATCCCTACAGAGAAGAGAGAGTTTAACCTTAAAAAAAAAAAAAAAAAAGGTTGTCAGTCAACAAGTAGAATGTTGAGCAACCCTGTCACAAACCTTCAAACAACTGAGACAAACAGGACACAGCACACGCACAGAATTGTGGGATAGGTGCAGGTGACTCACAGCAAACAAGCTGTGTGTGGAACAGGTTCTAGGGATGGGACAGGTGTTCTCCAACAGAACAGCAGCCACAGTGTGAGTGAGTGTGTTTGTCAGGAATACAGGTCTGGGTTCGAGTCCCTACAGGGCCAGGATGTCAGTTTGAAGCCCAGATTATTAAACATTACTAATATTACTAGTCACCAGCTCCTCGTTTCTAAATCTGTGGTTAAAATATAAAAGTGTGAATAACCGTTGGTCACGTGATTGTAGTTTAACCAAGGTAAAAAAGGAAATAAAAACAGTGTGTGTTTTTGTGTGTCCCACCTCCTTGTGTCTGAGCGATGCAGTGCTGAAGGACACACACCATCAGGACACTCAGCACCTGCTGCATCTTCATCGTCGTGACACTCATCCTCATCGTCCTTCACGTCAATCAAAACAACCAGTCCGTGTTAATGGCGCTTCAATCAAGCCGGTAAGCCGCCATATTGACGAATGAATTAGTCCTTCAGAATAGTCCTGGCTCGTGTGAGTCAGTCCCTCAAAGTCCAGGGAAATCTCGGTGTTTTTGTTTTTTTTTTTTGGCCGGAAGTCCACGGTACACTATCTTTCTGTCGATATTGTTAAAGAGAAGAGTTAAATCCCGGTTTCAGTAAAAGTTTAGCTGCTGTTTCCTCCTCTGAGTCTGAGCCCAGCTCTAACCTGACAGACCGCCCGCTCTGTCAGTGTGACAGCAATCACTACACTGCACTGATTGGAGGGTGGAGCTCAGCCAATCAGCGACTGGAGCGACTTTTGCACTGGCAGTGATTGTACTGGCAGTGTACTGACTGCACTCATACTGTAGAGCATTGTACTTTACTACACTATACTACACTACACTACACTATACTATACTATACTATACTATACTTCATAATGCTCCACTATAGCATGCTATGCTATACAATAGGATACTATACGATAAAATACTATACTATACTGTACTATATTATACTACACTATACTATACTTTTTCCACATAATCTATCTCCTGTCAGGGATGTTAATGTATAATAAACTATAAATAAAGTATGAAGTAAAAATCTTAAGTATTAAGTCAATTTAAAAAATACGTAGCTCAGGTGTCAGGACTGATCTGCCCAGACTAAAACTGCCATGTGTTTGGTTCATGTGTGGAATCAAACTCATCTCTACAGTTAGAACAGGTGAGTCATCTCCTCTGCCCACTCATCATCAAGGAACATGACTAAAACGAAAACCTAGAAAATAAAACCTAAAAATATATTTTTTTAAATCTACTATCTTTGCAGCACAACAATAAGCTTCAAATCCATCTTTTAACGATGTCTTCAGCAGAAAGACTTTGACCTGCACTTCTCCACTTGTGCTGATGCTGGAAAAGTCTCATTCTTTTATTGCAGCATGATTTTACAGCTGTACTTGGGACTGACTCCAGTGAAACACGAGGTCAAGTCGTGGAACAAGGTTCCTTGGACTGCACAACAACAGCGACTTGTTTTCTTGTACCAGACTAGGATCTGGTTTGGTTAGAAACTCATATCTGTTGTTGTCTTGTGTTTTTGTCACTCAGGCTGAGTGTCAGAGGGGGGCGAGCCAGCCGAGCAGCTCTGAAGGAACCGGCTCTGCCTGTAGGTCCAGTGTGAACACACACGTGGAGGAGAATGTCTTCTAATTACACAGAAGTAATTCACCCAGGTCCAACATGTCTCCCTGTGAAATCAGTGAAAGCAGCTCAACAATGAGGGTTAATATTCCACCTCTACCAGGAAGTCTTTCACATTATAGGACACATGTCCTTGTGCTGCCCCCAGTGGAGAAAAACACAGGGTTGTTTTTGTTACAAAATATGTTTCTTGTTAGACTCCTAATGTAAATAAATCAAAGTCAACCCAAATAAATGGAGGTCATAAAAAAGCTACTGCTTAACTTGTGTCACGGTTATTTATTTTAATGTTCTTAATATGAAACCTAAGTCAGACCCAAGGTTAATGAAGTGTGATATTAAGTGGAATCAATATTAATATTTTTTATCCTTTTATCCATTTCTACATGTTTTTCTATTATGACATTATGACACATTTAAACTGACAAATGTCTGTATTGAACAGAATCTCAGGAACAAAAAAACAAATTCCATGACGCACTCATTTCCCTGCTCTTGATTGAATACCTTGAAGGAAAGAGACACTTTTATCTCCTATCAACCACTGAGGTCATAAAACGCGGAATAATAAACCCACAACGTACGTGACTGAGCTTTAAAACGTGAATACCGCCGGTGACATAGGGTTATAACTAAATACTGCCCCCTGCTGCCAAAGCTTCTTTCACCACAGCTCGGTGCGTCCCCCGTTTCGATGTTAGTCTGATTATTAGTCTAACAGATAATGGAGTCGAGTCGCAAAAATGCAACGGTTTAAAACTAGAAAATAAATCGTATTTATTCATTTGTATTTTTTCACTAATTGCTTGTAAAAAATAAGAGGGAAATATTAGAAAATATTTCACCCTTTATGTGAATGTTGAGTTTTCTTCTCTGCAATCTTCACAAACACAGGGTCCATTCACTATAAAGAGTAAAAAGCACAGGGGTGTAATACAAGGAACGACCTCTAGTGCAATAAAACGATAAAAAATAAATTTGAATTTTTAAACAATATCCCCTCAAGTAGTAAAAGAGTAGTTTCAGAAAGCACATTATCAGTTTGATCCCTGGAGGGGGGGTTATAGTGCCCCCCACCTGAGAAATTCTGGTGAAAAGTGACCGGTCGATATGATTGACCTGAACAAAGCTGCAGCTCAAACACAGGTCATAGAGAAAATGGGTTTATTTGTAATACAGCAGGATTTTTGTTTGTCGTCCAACATCATCACATACAGATAGATGTTTCCATGCATTCAGCACTGAGCCTTATCAGGTTGTTGTTGTTGTTTTTTTTATCTTACTTGTGTAAATTTAAAGTATTGACACAACCATCAGAGGTTTGGGTTTTTTTTCACATTGATCACCACTGTTTTACACTGACAGTCTACATCGAAGGTTCTCTACAGCCTTGAACAAATCAAAGAATTTAAATATCCATCTCGTTAACGTGTAAAGGAAGAAAATGAAAATACAATCAACCTCTGCCTCATCATCTCGCCTGTGGTGCAAAACCATCCTGAATACCTCAGAAAAAACACGACTGCAAACCATAACAGATATTTGATCAATCGTCGGACTAAAACAAACCAGGTCGTCGACGGTCATGACATCATATAAGGCCACAAAACCCAGATGAAACTCACTATTAAAATGAGATGTTGAATATATAGAACCACACACTGATGGTATGATGGACAGAGTATTTGTTGAGTACGTGTGTCGTACTGAGTAGCAGTACCAATGTACGGCACACGGATATCATTTCAGTGACAAAGATCTGGTTTCTGCTGGTATCAGAAGGGACGCGGGAACTCCACTCCTGTCCAGAGGTGAGTCGGAGACCAGCGGATGAATCTGCTTAAAAACTACAACACCCACAATCCCCTCTGCTGACCCTGCTTTTTTCTTTTTTCCCTCACACAAATACACGGAGAATAACGGAGCTCACTTATCAAATAAATATCAGTCCAGTGACTTTTCAGTTTCATTCACAATATTAACATTCAGTAACACAGAGTGACAGACGGCACAAGGACCTCATAAAATACACAGAACTAGGAACTGAAGTGATGCAGATGATGTGAACACACACGATGTCAGAGCAGCAGGTTGTGGTTGTTTCCCTGGCTGACCATGAACATCACGACGTCAGTGCTGATGTCAGGACATGGAGCGCTGGACTGTGATCGTCATGCAGCTCAGAGGATGAGGAGGAGAAGCGAAGCAGCCGTGTCAGTGGTTTCTGCCGCGGTGCATTCAGGTCAGGCTGGTTAAAATGTGTTGTGCATTTTAAAATATTAAAAGTCGGGGGTTAAGGAGAAGGCTGCCGTTCGCTAACAAGCTATGGTTCAGTAAGAAGCGGCGGGATGACATGTTGTTAGTGATGAACGTCTCACTTTCACTAACACTGTAGTCACAGTAACAGAGTCGCTGACGCATTCTGATGAGCTCTGTTAAATCACAGGAAATGAAAAAAAAAACCACATACAGCACAGAGCGTCTGACAGAATGTGTTCTGAGAATGACAGCTAAAAAAAAAAAAAAAAAAATCCAAACTCAACTGTCAACCCAGTGGAGTCACGCACGTTCTTAAACTGACAAACAGTGGCACCTATGGACCGGAGGTGGAAACAGGAAAAGCAGGTAATATGTTATGACTGATCACATGATTAGTTGCTGTGTGTGTGTGGAGTAGTTAAATGTGATATACGTAGGAATCTGTTGCAGCACTATGATAAACTCTACCAGATACTGTATAAATAAAAACCAAAAATCGACCTCTGACCCTGAATCTTGCGTTGCACCTATCGAGCCAAAACCTTTGCCTAAACCCACAGTCTTACTCTGAAAACAAAAACAAGGAATGGTGGATGGAGCCAGTGGCTTTTTTTCCCCCCACTTCATCTTATTTCTTGTTCTTGAGTTGATTGGCCAGCCAATCAAGACCTTCGTACAGGCCGTCGCCACTGGTGGCGCAGGTGGCCTGGATGTACCAGTTGCGGTGACGCAGGGAGTGTAAACCCAACTTGTCTGTGATCTCTGCAGCGTTCATGGCGTTTGGTAAGTCCTGTCAGTGAGGAAGGAGGAGGTTAAAAAAAAAAGACGGTGGATTTTAACCTGAACTATGGTAAATAGTTTGACTCCGTTTTCCCAAAGAAGTGAAATTAAAGAGGGATTTCTTCCCAGGATTGAAATTGATAGAAATCAACAGCTTTAAATGGCAACTCTTCCCAGGATTGAAATTGATAGAAATCAGCAGTTTTAAATGAGAAGTGACATCATGAATTAGAGAAGTAGTATCAGGAGTAACAGTTCTACTGGGGAATCATTATATTATTAAAATCATTACTAATACAAGTTGAAGACTTATCAATTCATTTTTCAAATTTCAAATTTTAGTTTAGTTTTCAAAATTATTAAATATGTCAAGGTTTAATTCGACCACAACGGAGGGGCTTCAAATGGCAGCCCGAGGCCCACATGTGGCCCAGAGACACCCTCAGACGGCCCAGTCTCTGGTTATTTGACAAACGGAGGGAGACACTGAGAGAATAACAATTGCAATATTTACAGTAGCACAGACTTCAGATGTAACACTCTCCGTAGCCTAGCAACATGCTACTCACTCTGAACTGGATGTCTCAGCATTATAAGCTGAATGAATTTGTTTTTTTCCCGACCTCAAAAACCTAAACTTCACCTCAAATACCATGTGTTTTTTTTATTGAGTTGTTGATTGTTGGTGTGGAGAGATGCTTCACCTGTTTGTTAGCAAACACCAGCAGGACCGCATCCCTCAGCTCGTCCTCAGCCAGCATCCTCATCAGCTCCTCTCTCGCCTCATTCACACGCTCTCTGTCGTTACTGTCCACCACAAAGATCAGACCTGTCGCAACGAGGAGAACACGGTGACTCTAATGTCTAAAAAAATGTAAATTTGTCTTTGTTTTTCTCATAAACAACTGATTAACTCGTCTCACCCTGTGTGTTTTGAAAATAGTGTCTCCACAGGGGACGGATCTTGTCCTGCCCACCCACGTCCCACACGGTGAAGCTGATGTTCTTGTACTCCACCGTCTCCACGTTGAACCCTAGACACACGAGTAAGGTCACAGCACACACTCTCATTGTCAGGCATGAGTGTTTGACAGCCCACGAACCTACCGATGGTCGGGATGGTGGTGACGATTTCACCCAGCTTCAGCTTGTAGAGGATCGTCGTTTTCCCCGCGGCGTCCAGCCCCACCATCAAGATCCTCATCTCCTTCTTTCCTATGAGGCTTTTCAGCAAATTCCCAAAAATATTCCCCATGATTGTGATCCTGCAGCTTCAGCAGTGATGCAAGACAGGGATCTCAGTGGGCGAACGGAGGCAAAACCCTAGAGAAAAGCTGGAGGAAACGGTTCAAATAATATGATAACCTGTGTTAATACATAGTGAATGGTAATCTTAACAGGTAGAGCTCTGTTATATCAGATATACAAAAAAAAAACATTAGGGTTTCTGTTTGATCAAGACCACTTTGATCCTTTAAAGTGAAGGCTCACTTGGCTTTGGCCTGGTTTGCGTACATCACGAAACGTTATGGGCATTAATTAAATACTCACGAAAAGTTATGGGCATTAATTAAATTATTGGGATTATATTGGGATTAATCCATAACCAAGTAAAAAGGGCAAGAAAAGCATTTTGTGTTTTTTAAATTAACATGTTTTTGCCTGAAACTCATTGCAAAATCCGTTGGGACAGAGACAAAGGAACACTGATAAGACTGTAAAAACAAAACGCTGTGAAGTTCTTGAGTTACTGGTAAACTGAAGGTAGCTTTAAGGTGTCCAAACGAGGTGTAAAAGGAGCATCCTCCAAAGGCTCTGTATTTGCAGTAGTCGGGACTCGCCACTTTTCACACAACTTTGCATGAAGTAAAAACAGGATGTGATCCAGTCGTGGACTCACCTAAATTTTAAGAATGTGTTTGTTCAAATAATTGATGGACACAAATCTGAGAGCGTAGCCGAATCCCAGATTTCACATTTTTATTGCATTTTTTTTATACCAACTCTTTCATTCTTGTCACGTTGACCGTCATGTCGTCAGACTACACGTGCAGATATCTCTCCCACACATCTCTGTACCTGCCTGAATAATGTTACACAACAGATCCGTCTCTCCTCTTCATGCTGTTTCAAACACATGCTAACTGCCTACAGTTATTACAACAGAGAGAGAGAGTGAATGAGTTTCTGTGCCATGACTTCAGGCTACAACACAATCTGTTCTTTTTTTTATTTTTTTCCTCCTTCAAATGTTTAACTGAAACGATGCCAAGCCCTTAAAACACCGGCAGAAACGTCCTACATACCAGTCCTGCATCATAAACATGTTCAGACTCTGGTTCAACACAAAGACAGAACACACACATCACATTTACCCAATAGTCCAGATTGACAATTCATGATGTTATATTACCTAATAGCCTGTTGTAATTCAATTTTTCATTCAGAAGAAGCCACTCTTAATTAAAGAAACGCTAAGTAATCAAAGGTCACTGAGCAGACATTAACGTCTTAGACTTAGAGATTTCTACTGTCTACATTTTATAGTATTTTTTAGGTGGTTACAGGACAAATGTTTTTTTGTTTTTTTTCCATCCTGGGCTGAAAAATATTGTCAAAATTACAGCCAATAACTACAAGATTTTTTTTTAAGGCTTACTTTATCTCACAACTTCACGTGAGCTCCAGAACAATTGATAATGTTAAACATAATGCTTGTCAATTTAAAAAAAACTTTTGCTAATTCAAATATCATATTTATAATAAAAACAACAACTCGTTTTTTTTGGTGCATGAGCTGAGGTTGATCCTTATATCACACTTTCCGCACTAAAAAAAAAACTAGTTTCGCTGTATTGCGATTAAAATCTTATTTCACTACATGATGAAAGGTATTTATGGCGATACGCGATAATATTGTATTCTGTCCCATCTCTACGGACACGAACATCAGCCCTGTCCATGGTGCTGAAGAGAAGGAACCAGAGTCAGTTCCTGACTCCAGCTCCTTCAACAGCCATCGATCTACTCAGGTATGTCTCCGTTCAAGTGTGAATGTAATCAGCCAGGAGGGCCTCGGAATGTCGGTCTTGAATGCTCAATTAGCCCCGGTTGAATTACGTTAGCTGCGGTTGCTACCGTAAGTAACGACGCCGCTAACCTGCCATATTCTTAG